TTTTTTTAAATTCCACAAACGTAAAAAGTGCTTGCCATCTTACCAAATCACTTAAAATTTACCACCCCTCTCCATAAATCATAACATATGAAGTCGATCTTACGAGTATGCAGAACGCTCTTCAGATATAAACTTAGCATAACGTTAAAGCTCAAACACAAATCCTTTAATATGGCTCAGCTGGTAGCTAGAGGAAAGGTGTGCAAATGGATTCACTTTTTCTTTCGTTCCAAAAATACTCTTGAAGACTTGGTCAGCGCCTCTGTATATCTAAACTTTTTTTTTTTTTTTTTTTTGTGTGTGTGTGTGTGTGTGTGTGAAACGTTATGTTGTTTTGCTCAAAATTTAGATGGATGCTTAAAATAGTTCACCTTCAACTAAAGACAGTTCGGAATGAGTGAAGTTAACTGCATGATCAAAATTATATTGGCAATCGAAAGAGGGATTCTTAAATCTGTGCAGTTTGAACGAGACTTCTAACTGACCTCAAAGAATGAAAAGTCTTGTAAAAGTAAAGCGCAGTGACAAATAAATGTCCCCTTTAAGCAAATCATTGTTTGCGAACGCTCTGATTCCGTCCTAAACGCAACTTATTCTGATCAGCTTTTGCTCGGGCTTGCTTTAACAAGCAACAGGAAACCTCTTTAGCTTACCGCTACCGCATTCCATCATTACCATACACGAATGCCATTGGCCTTGCATGAAGGAAGTATACGTTGTCAGTTAGCTAGAGAAATCTATTTTTAAGCTATTTCAGCATTTTTCATTTCTTTTTGTTGTTATAGGAAAGTAATTAATTTTGGACCTGTTCGTTGTTTATGTAATCTCCCGCCTGCATTGTTTTAACTTAATTGCGCAATTCACTAGCGAAATATGTCTGGGTAGTACACTGCCGAGAAGTTTCGATAGTGACAGTGGAATATCATTCTAATGGCCGAAATGGTGTGCGAATCCTAATAAATGTGCCATTTATGCCTTCCTGTCCATGTAAAGGGATCCGTTATTAGAGTAGAAAATGAATACAGAAGTAGAATTAAGCTTAAGTCGGAAAAATTCTTAAGCAAAGACTCGCTGTCACAATCATGGTTGTCTACGTATGCCTCTCGTTAAAGAGTTTATTATTATTATTATGAAGAAAAATTGACAAAATGCAAAATATGATGTACCACTGCTCGCAGTTAGCTACAGCTATTCGAGGTGAGCAGTGGATTGACGCATTAAATAACGTATTAACATACAAATTATACTAAGTGGAATTACAATTACAATACTGAGTAGAATTAATTATTATCATACAATACATTATAAGAGGTTTACAGAACTAAGATATAGTAAGAATAGTTACAATACTAATTTCAGAACTAAGTATTAAATAAGAATAATTACAATACTAATTTCAGATAATGAAATCAAGAAAACAGAGTTAACTAAGATACAAAAGAATAAAAAGGGAGAACAGAATAATGATAACAATTAAATATTGACCAGTAAACTATATGGGAAAGACAAAGATTCACAGGAGAATTAAATAGAATTAAACCTCTCATTAAGTTTCAGCACAGAAACTCAAAATTTTTGCTGGTTTTGTACTCTGTTAATGTAGTTTCAACATGCAAGGAGTGTCAAAGACCTATAAGGAAGTGATTATCAGGCAATGCCACTAATGAACTAATGTCAATCATCGTTTCCACCGATGATGTTGATTTTGTTCAAAGGCGTCCAAGAGTGGCAGCCAGTTTACCTTTAAAGTCTTTAAGCCTTTTTGAAGATGAACTCCAGAGTTCAGCAAAGGCATTCAATGTATAATCCAGAACAATGCAAAGTCCCTGTAATTAATGCTATTCACACGAAAAAGTTTAAAGCTTTGTCTTGTTTGCAAAGGGTTACAGCGGTCTTTCAAACAATGTCAAGAGTATCGCCTTTCAGCAATCAAACCGTTTGATCGCGTGATCAGCACGACGGATACTAGTTTGATTCACTGTACTCTTTCTTTCGCTGTGAAGTTTTGTCCTTTGACTGAATGAAAATGAAAGTGATTAATATTGCAGCAAATTCTTGACTACGTTGCTTTCGTTTGTTACCTCTCGCTGGGTTGTCTGAGGAAAACCCTCAGAATGCACCTTCCTCTCTTCACGAGAAGCTCTTGCCTGTCGTATAATGTGAGTAGCAAACATAAATGAACGAAACTAATAAAGGCCACTCTCACTTTTCAGTTGTCTGTGGCTCAGTTGGTAAAACTTACGATCTCGAAATCGAAAGAGTCACGTGGGAGGACTCGTCGTTACTTTGTATTTCTATGTTCCACTCAAGGTAATTAACATCCCTCTAAATTTAAGTTGATTTTGTTGTTAAACTTCACATTTTCACAAACTGTAACACGTTGAACTGGCTCAAAATTTCAGTTGACGCTTAAATGACCACGCACACCTTTTAGCTCAGAATGTCTCACCCGCTAGTCTGAATGGAACGGAGCCATTGCTTACATAAATAGGCTGCAAATGGCGCTCAAAAGGGGACTCTTTATTGCCTACTGTGAATGACTCCGAAACAAAATAAATGTTCTCTATATTTCTCGAAGTAATTGTTGTTTTTCCTTATAGTCATCGGCACAAGTAATTTCTGATCAGCTATTTTCCTGTGAGTGTCTTTAATAGGCAACAACAACTTCTCTTGCGTTAAATTGCTTCTTATTACCTCCGCATTAAAAATCACCGCGGAAGCTATTGGCCTTAGGGACTAAAATTTATGAGGTCTGATTGAGAGGTCTATTTTTAACTATTTTGGCATTTTAGACAGTATTTCGTCTTTCATTCATTTCAGCCTTCAGAGAATATTACTAGTTAAAGAGCTGTTAATAAGAAGTAACTATACCAAAAGACCACTAGTGAACGAATCAGCTTGAGTCAATTCACTCAGTCTAAAAAAAGCCGCTAAATTAACCGTACTCTTCAGAAGCTGAGCAATGTGTACTTATGGTGGTCTACAATATTTATTCTTTTTTGTTTCTTTATTTGCTTCCAAGTCGTCAAAGCTGTCACTTCAGCGCTCGAAGGAGGTCAAAGATCTGGAAGGAAGTTCTTATTACCATTCAGCGAGCCTTACACGTAACGATGTGTGGCTTAATTAAATTTTTTGCCGTTTTTAAGTTAATTGGAAATGCAAAGTTGATCACAAACTTTGCTTTGAATTTCCTACGCCAGTTCTCCTCAAGGTCAGACTTTAAAGTTAGAAATTCTCAATTAAGGGTCGGAAATGTTGTATGATACGCATATATACTTTCGTTTCGCTATAAATTGGTGCTGGTTTGCCTTATCTTCCTTCTCAGCTTCTCAAGTGGCAGTGAATAAGAGAAAATATTTTAAAACCCTTTCAGATTAATAAAAGTTGATCACTAAAAGTAAAATGGTAATATCGACTTTAGCTCTTTCGGGGTCAGTCCAGTGCTTCTGTTTAAATATTTACTGGAAGGATGAGGCATCTTAAGTTCTGATGTTGCAAATGACGATGCCGAAAGGCCTGAGGGGTCGAGCCGCCGAGCCATAAGCGTGGTGGCCTGAGTCTCAGTCCTATGCACAGGGTGACCTCTGCCGCCTGCCGGACCATATTTGACCATGGGCCTTAGCACAGACCTCAATATTTTCCAAAAACAATATACAAAATAAAATACAAACTGAATTATTCTAGAGCTACGATGGTTTTTTTTTGTTTTCAACGCATAAAAGCTCGGATTATGCCAGCAGTGCTGAACTGAAATAAAAGCTGAAAATAATGATCGTTTTGCTGAATTATGCTTAAAATTAACCCAGCACAATCTACCAAAGCCTAGCCTAAAGCGCGGGAAAACAACCAAACTGCCTAAAGCGCGGGAAAACAACCAAACTGCCTAAAGCGTGGGAAAACAACCAAACTGCCTAAAGCGCGGAAAAACAGCCAAACTGCCTAAAGCGCGGGAAAACAACCAAACTGCCTAAAGCGTGGGAAAACAACCAAACTGCCTAAAGCGCGGAAAAACAGCCAAACTGCCTAAAGCGCGGGAAAACAACCAAACTGCCTAAAGCGCGGGAAAACAACCAAACTGCCTAAAGCGCGGGAAAACAACCAAACTGCCTAAAGCGCGGGAAAACAACCAAACTGCCTAAAGCGCGGGA